GTGATTCGAATCTCATGGAAGTGTTCTTGCCTTGAGATATTTGATCAACAAGAATCATTCAAGCTAGACATGATCGATCTTGCTTGTGGAGTGATTCGAATCTCAAACAATGTTCTTGCCTTGAGATTTTCGATCAACAAGGTAATCCGAATCTTACTCCCCTTGTAGTGGTTCCTTTTCCATATCATTTGGTATCAGAGCTTCAGGCTCAAGATCGGATATATGTTTCATTGTGCTTATCTCTTTTAATTCTCTTATAATTTTTTTTTTTCAGTTTGTGTAGAATGTTCATGTTCTATCACAAAAATATATAACAAAAAAAAAAAAAAATCTTATGTTCTTTAAAGTGTTAGATCTGGATCTTATCAACACTTTGTTCTTCTTTAAGATCTTCTAAATCAATTTCCTTGTTGGTAAATTGATTATATTTTGCCAATCCAAAGAAGAAAAAAAAAAAAAACCATTGAAAGAAAGAAAGCATATTGATGTTAAATGTCTTTTTTTTTTCCCCTCTTGATTATTATATGTAACTCTCATATGTTACTACGTTTACATTAGTCCTTAATCATTTTCTTTCTTTAATTCGTTAATGATTGGATTACCTTGATGATCAAGATCAAGAGTAAAGAAAACTCGTTTCTAAACTCGTGATTCGAATCACTCCACAAGAGGTTTGATCAATACCACTTGAATGACTCTACATGCAAGTTCTAAACACAAGAATTTGCAAAGAAAGTTTAGCTCTCAACAAAGCTAAAATAGAAATTCTATTCTTAATTCCAAAATCTGATGTCTAATCAAAGAAAAGAAGGCTTTATATAGCCCTTACAACCTTAATCTATGGATATATAACTCCCAAATTGAATGGGCTAGTAAATGAAAAATACCCATAACCTCCATATTAAAATGGCTAGTTAATGGTGGAATATAGTAACCTATGTGGGTTACAATATAACCTTAACTCCTATATTTAAAACTAGCTTAAATATGACAAACAAATATTTAAACTATAATAAAATAATGCAATTAATAAAATGTGCTTATTGACTCATCCTTGGACTAGTTTCATAAATTCAGTGGAGTTCATTAAATGCAACTTAAAGTGCATTTCATTCATCTCTTTCTTGAAGCTCAACTTTGCACAACATATAAGGGAGGTCTCCAGCGTCTTCTAGAATTTCCTTTGATGAGCTCACCATAGCTTGAATATAACTGTATAAGGTTTGTTGTAGCTTCTTAGCTCTCGTCCTTGTAATTGGACCTTCAGGTATGGAAATTCCTTGGTCGTGGTTCATATCATTCTCCCCCTCATGAAAAAGATTCGTCCTCGAATCAAAGCCATCACCTACATCAAAAGGACTCAAATCAACAACATTAAAAGTTGTACTAACACCGTACTTACCTGGTAAATCAATTTTATAAGCATTGTCGTTGATACGCTCAAGAACTTGAAAAGGTCCATCTCCTCGTGGTAAAAGCTTAGATTTTCTTTAAGTAGGAAATCTTTCTTTTCGGAAATGCACCCAAACCCAATCTCCCAGCTTGAAGATGACAAACTTACGTCCTTTATTAATTCGGGTGGCAACCTTGGAATTTTGTTTCTCAATTTGTTCTTTCACTTGCTTGTGAAGTTTATGAACCAACTCAACCTTGGCATTTGCATCAAAATTCACAAACTCTTTTGACGGTATGGGCAACAAGTCAAGGGGGGTTAAAGGATTAAAGCCATAAACAATTTCAAAAGGTGTGCATTTAGTAGTGCTATGAACAACCCTATTATATGCAAATTCTATAAAGGGCAAACAATCCTCCCAAGTCTTAAGATTCTTATCAATAATAGCCCTAAGCATAGCAGTCATGGTTCTGTTAACAACTTCAGTTTGTCCATCCGTTTGAGGATGACAAGTAGTTGAATATATTAGCTTAGTTCCTAACTTACCCCATAAAACACGCCAAAAGTGGCTTAAAAATTTTACATCACGATCACTAACGATGCTTTTAGGAATGCCATGCAATCGTACACTTGGGCAAAGACGACTGACTTTGTAAGCGGAACACAAAACTATTTACGCTATTCCGGGTTCTTATTGAGCTTAGTGAAACCAAGGTTTATGAGAAAGTCAGCGAAGTTTGGTGTTCTACCTTTTCCTAGTCTCGGTCCACAGTGGAAGGCTCCGCACCTGAGCCTCGTTAGACTCAGCGGAAGTGTAAGGTGTAAGTCAAGAAAGAGAATAGAAGAAAAGATTCAGTTTGTCCCTTAGCCTAGTCTATATCTACCGCTGACGCAACTCCGTACCGACGCCTCACTACCTACCTATTATTAATTAATTAACGGCTAAGTGATTTCATAACCTGAGCTTTCTATCCTTAACCAGCTGACCTGAGTAACCTTAACTATCTTCCTTTCTAACTTTAGCATAGGCCTTCGCCACTTCAAACGGCCCCTCTTTTCTTTTTTGAATTAGAAAGAACGGGGCCTCACTTAACTATTTGTATAGGATGAACAGCAGGGAGGATGAAAGACAAAGAAAGGGAGAAGTGGGCTTGATGATCGAAGAAAGGGAAGGGGCGTGGTTGGTGTGTCACTAGGTCGGTGGGGGAACCCGTAGGAAGGGCGGGACGACCCGCCGAATTCACATCCGAAATCGCCAACATAAACATAAACGAAATCGTCGAATTGCATATGTATGTATAGAAAGAAAACGAACCACTTCTATTCTCGGAGCTTAGGTATATGAAGAATGGCTTTTTGGTCCCTTTCGTCCAGTGGTTAGGACATCGTCTTTTCATGTCAAAGACACGGGTTCGATTCCCGTAAGGGTCATTCCCGGCCGCTTTCTCTTAGTGTGAATTGCTGAGTGATCACTCGCTATCTGGCTGGAAAAGGTGGTCCGGAAGCTTCCTCTCTCCCAGCAAGCAAGACGAGATCACCACTTTTCTCAGTAATGGACTTCCTTTCATTCTTCCTTACTTAGCCTTAGATGTCCTTTCATAGATTCTCGAACCTCCAACAGACGAAATCTCTATGCATGTGTTCTTTCTTTCCACATCTCTTTTGGCCGTTTTTGTTAGGCATTGAACCCCACCTTAGGTGCTGAGTAGTGTCCCCCTCTCCCTAATACCTAAAAAAAAGTTATGTCTATGGAGCCTAAAGCTTAAACCATGGCATGGCAGTAAGCAGTAAGTGGGCCTAGTCTTTGCCCAGTCTTCGCCTTCTTCGGTGGCCAAGTTTCAGCGTTCAACGTCGGCCTACCACCTTTCTTTTTCAAGGTTGAGCTTCATCAATTCAAGTAGTGTCTTTTTCCTATTCTTATTGGTAAATAGCATCTGGAAGCGAAGGCATTATTGAACGAAAGAGATGTCGGGTCGGTCAATTGCATTAGGTAGGAGATGCAGGACCTGTCTTAACCGCAAGTGCATTCGCTATTCGATTCCATCCTCGATCCCACCCTATTAAACTTCCCAAGGTTCTCTCTCTTTTTGTTTGACTTTTCAGTGAAAAAAGGGGGGTGACAATCGGTAGACTTTCTTTTCTATGTTGCCGTCTCATCAATGAGCGTAGATTGATAGAGATGGCTTTTGTGCTGGTCAATCTATATCCCATTCTTCAGGTATAGTTTTCTTTGATCACAGATCGGCAGGTGATCCATACTTTCGCCCCCTTTGGTCAGTCAGTCGTCTTGATTTGCCAGAGGGTCTTGAGCTAGCTTCCTTGAAGAGGCTTGATGGGAAAGAGAGGTAAAAGAACAACCTAAGAAAGGTACCTCATAAGCTTTTGGATTCCATGGCTAAGGCTGACTTCGGTAGATTTTAGGTGAGGGTGGAGGGGTAGGATAGGAGGTGAGTGGTTGATATAACCTCAATATTATAGGGAGATTTTGGCAATAAGGGTGGTGCTAGGGCTCAAGACAATTTGGAAGGGAGAGTGAGTTGGATCATAAATCAGAGTTTCTTCCTTTGTTTGAAGAGGCAGAATCCTACCGGACTTGAGATAGGAATGGCTAAACTGATTGTCCCAGGAAGAAAGCTAATGAAAGCAAAGGTCAAGAATATCATCTTGGTTTAACAGAAGTTAGTCAAAATCTCGCTTGTCTCTATCGTACTATGATTGCTCTCTATTTATAAATAAACGGTGCTCTTCTCCCTCTCCAACTATCGGTCTCGCAGCTTCGCTCCTTCAACTGATTCAAGTGATTCAGCTATCGGTCTCTTTCTTCTCTGATCTTTCATTTTCTTCTTGATATTACCTTCCCTTCCCTTATTTCAAGAGGTAAAGCACTCTCTTATCTTTTTCTCAGTAAATAGGTCTTTCTTTCTGATATGGAAAATCAACCCAAGGGAAAGTATGGAACGGATTACCTTGATGATCAAGATCAAGAGTAAAGAAAACTCGTTACTAAACTCGTGATTCGAATCACTCCACAAGAGGTTTGATCAATACCACTTGAATGACTCTACATGCAAGTTCTAAACACAAGAATTTGCAAAGAAAGTTTAGCTCTCAACAAAGCTAAAATAGAAATTCTATTCTTAATTCCAAAATCTGATGTCTAATCAAAGAAAAGAAGGCTTTATATAGCCCTTACAACCTTAATCTATGGATATATAACTCCCAAATTGAATGGGCTAGTAAATGAAAAATACCCATAACCTCCATATTAAAATGGCTAGTTAATGGTGGAATATAGTAACCTATGTGGGTTACAATATAACCTTAACTCCTATATTTAAAACTAGCTTAAATATGACAAACAAATATTTAAACTATAATAAAATAATGCAATTAATAAAATGTGCTTATTGACTCATCCTTGGACTAGTTTCATAAATTCAGTGGAGTTCATTAACTGCAACTTAAAGTGCATTTAATTCATCTCTTTCTTGAAGCTCAACTTTGCACAACATATAAGGGAGGTCTCCAGCGTCTTCTAGAATTTCCTTTGATGAGCTCACCATAGCTTGAATATAACTGTATAAGGTTTGTTGTAGCTTCTTAGCTCTCGTCCTTGTAATTGGACCTTCAGGTATGGAAATTCATTGGTCGTGGTTCATATCATTCTCCCCCTCTTGAAAAAGATTCGTCCTCGAATCAAAGCCATCACCTACATCAAAAGGACTTAAATCAACAACATTAAAAGTTGTACTAACACCGTACTTACCTGGTAAATCAATTTTATAAGCATTGTCGTTGATACGCTCAAGAACTTGAAAAGGTCCATCTCCTCGTGGTAAAAGCTTAGATTTTCTTTGAGTAGGAAATCTTTCTTTTCGGAAATGCACCCAAACCCAATCTCCTGGCTTGAAGATGACAAACTTACGTCCTTTATTAATTCGGGTGGCAACCTAGGAATTTTGTTTCTCAATTTGTTCTTTCACTTGCTTGTGAAGTTTATGAACCAACTCAACCTTGGCATTTGCATCAAAATTCACAAACTCTTTTGACGGTATGGGCAACAAGTCAAGGGGGGTTAAAGGATTAAAGCCATAAACAATTTCAAAAGGTGTGCATTTAGTAGTGCTATGAACAACCCTATTATATGCAAATTCTATAAAGGGCAAACAAACCTTCCAAGTCTTAAGATTCTTATCAATAATAGCCCTAAGCATAGCAGTCATGGTTCTGTTAACAACTTCAGTTTGTCCATCTGTTTGAGGATGACAAGTAGTTGAATATATTAGCTTAGTTCCTAACTTA